TTGTGAGGAATTCACCGTCTGGGGGATGGTTGCTTGGACATTTGAGGGGTGTTATTGGGTAGATGTTTTTAGGTGAGCAAGAAGGAAGCCCCGGGGGGAGCTGCTGGGAAATGTGAAATGCAGATTCTCAGGCCCGAGAGCCTCTGTCTCCTGCCATCTCCTGCCAAGTTTGTCCAGAGTTCCTGAGACCCGTTTTTATGTCCCCCCCCCCCCATTTTCCCCCTTACTCTCCCCCACCCGCCGCTTCCCACCCTATCTGCCTGGAGAGAGCCTGTTCATCCTTCAAGTTCCAGTGCAAATACTGTTTCTTCTGGGACAACTTCGCAACCACCCTGGAGAGGATTCACTGCCTTCTCTGCTCTAGGAGTCCCTTGTCATCACCTCTGGTATTGGACTTGCCGCAGTCTCTTTGGATCCTTGGCTTAAGGAGCTCTCCTTCCTCTGGATTTGGGGAAGCTCCAGGGCAGAACCAGGGCATTGTACCCTCGTGCCCCCCTTGCTGCCCTCGGGAGGCTGGCCAGTTGTAGGGACTGATTAAATGGCTACATGGAGGGAGCTACTTCGGGGGTCACAGCAGCAGCAAGCCCCCCACCCAGGTAGGGAGGGCACTGGGGGAGCAGGCAGGGGCCTTAGCCCTTCTTTGCCGAGCTTACCCTCTAGGGTCTTTCCGGAGCCCAGGATGGCATCGCCAGGGCTGAGTGGTGGGCCTGCCCGTGCTCCTAGACCCCCAACTGCCGCAGGCTGGCCCACTGACCTGGCACATTCCTGAGTCCCGGCCAAGCCTAGCAAACTCCTTGCTCTGAACCAGCTGGAAAAGGGGAGAGGGAAGGAAGAACCTGCTTCCTCTAGAGCAGCCAGAGGGCTGGGACTGACCTCGGGTGTTTAATACTCTACTCTGGTGGCTCATGGTCTGTCTGGGGCCTCGTGGGCAGTAAGGAGTCAAGACCAGGATGGCCAGTCCCAGGGACCCAGGCTTCCCTCCAGGCCTCAGCCGCAGCTGAAATATCAAGGGAAACATTCCCCTCGGGGACAGAGATGGGGCTCAGACCTCTGCCCACTGCTGTGAGGTAGTAACTGCAGGACTTGTCTGTCCAGGGCGGGGCTGGCAGGGGTGAGAAGAGGCGGGGAGGGGGAAGGAAGGGCTGGGCCCCAGCATGAATTGTTTCATCTTTCCCCAGGGCTGGGCGCTATGGCCCTCCCAGCCTCATTAGAGGGAAATGACTGGGTTATTAGGCACAGGTGGTTTCACGGCTGGCTCAGGGGCCAGAAGCTCTCTGGTCCTACCCGGGACCCCGGCAATGCCACTGCCAGCAACGCCCAGCTCCTTGCCTGGCTGGTGAAGTTCAGTGGGGCCATGCCGCCCATCTGTCACTTCCTGGAGGGGATTCCTCTTTGGCCCCACATTCTTAGGCTTACTAGCCCAGTCGTTCCACTGGCCTTCGGCATGCATAGGCGTGGCATGGATAAGATTCCCATTTTACAGGGGCGCCTGGGTGGCTCAGTCGGTTAAGCGGCCGACTTCGGCTCAGGTCACGATCTCACACTCCGTGAGTTCGAGCCCCGTGTCGGGCTCTGTGCTGACCGCTCAGAGCCTGGAGCCTGTTTCAGATTCCGTGTCTCCCTCTCTCTGACCCTCCCCCGTTCATGCTCTGTCTCTCTCTGTCTCAAAAATAAATAAACGTTAAAAAAAAAAAAAAAGATTCCCATTTTACAGAGGAAGAAAATGAGTCTCAGGAAGAGCAAAGTCTCAAGAATAATACGCTAAGAAGGGAGCTGGCCGTTCGACCTTTTGATTCTACAGTTTGTGCTCTGGTTTAAGTGCCTTAGAAACTGCCCCCTCCCACGTCACTCCCTCGAGAGGCACTCAGACCGCCTCGGTGTCACCAACAAGCAGCTCACAGCCGCTCAGGCAGGCAGTGCCTCCTTTGTCTCCTGAGAGCCCAGCAGGATGCAGCTTCTAGGCACACAGGCTTGGCTTCTAGGTGCTTCCTTGGATGGGGCTGTGGGAAGCTGGTGCTTCCATCCTGGCTGGATCACAGAGGAAAGCAGGCAAGCCCTTCCCCTCTCTGATCCTCAGCTACCCCAGCCCTGGGTCTAGAGTTTTGCCAGGAGAATGCCACTTGGGGGGCCCCAGCAGGTCACCTCTGTTCCCCTTGGACGGAAAGCTTCCCCTTCCTCCCCTTTCGTTTTCGTGTTGGTTTTTGGGCAACTGCAGCATCTTTGCCAAGAATTAGAGATGGAAAGATTCCCTGAGTTCCACCTCAGACTCGGATATGATCTCTTCCCCTCCCTGTCCTCAGATGTCCTTGAGAGATGGGATTGATTCTCTTTGTCCCAAGATAGTGCAGGTGCTCTGGGCATTCGGAGGAGGAGGAGAGAGGGCAGGGTCTAAAAAGAGGCCAAGTGGATCTCCACAAACACCTTAGATTGTTTTGAGGCAACTGTCCCTTGTTTTCTGTAGGAAGAAAGGGAGTCCATTTCCCCACGGAGGCGGCAGAGGGCCATCAAAACAGCCCCTTGCCCTTGGAAAAACAGTGCCAACCTCCAGCCAACAGACCAGGAGACCTTGGACAAAAGAGCACGAAGGATTTAGGAGGAGGATCAGGGAGGGGAAGCCTGGCCTCTGTGTCCCTGCATCCTCGGTGCTGGTGCAGGGGCTGCTGGCAGGGAAGGGAGAGGAGAGCAGACGGGCACTGAGACTCGCAAGGGCTGGCATGTGGGGGTGATTCACTGTCCCCTCTTTTTTTTTTTTTTTTTTAACCGGGAAGGTGTTATAAAACTCTCAGGCTGCTTGAAGGGCCCTTTCTGGGGAGACCTGCCCTCCCGCAGGACTAGGAGCAGGGGACCCCCACACTCACCATGCCGGTTCTGCGATCTTCCATATTTCTCTACAGGCCGGAGCCGAGGTCGGCAGCCTGCCGGGAGGAGGACCTCCTTGGATCGGGCCCTGGCAGGTCCGCGGGTCAGAGCCGCCCTGGGCAGCACTGGCCGGAAGAGGCCTAAGTGCAGGGCAGGCGTTGGTCCCGCGTGTCAGGCATCCCTCTCCCCTCAGCACCCCGCTGCCTCCACCGCTGCATTCCAGGAGTGATTTGGGGACTGCTGGCCAGTTGATTAAAACAACCCTACAGGTGAAGTTGCCAAACTGGAATGATTAAGTGTCTTGTAACCTCACACCCATTGTAGGGGCTGGGACACACCTGGAGTCATTCGTGGCCTTTGGCCCCTGAGCAGGTGACACACCTAAGATGTTGCAAAAAGCCTTCCCGCCTGAATTACATCCCCCCCCCCCCACCCCCGGCCCGGTGCTGGCTGGCGGAGATGCCCGGAGGCGTGCGCGCTCGCTCGCTCGCGCTCTCTCTCTCCAGGTTGCGTGACTTCTCCATGCGTGGGTGCTTTTGACTGGGGTTGCGGGGAGGTGGAGGAGAGTGGGGCGCTCAGCGGAACTGGCTCGTTGCCACGTGTGGAGCAACAGGATCGGAAAGCACATGGGGCGGTTTCTACCCCGTCCCTTGTCCCCCCCCACCCCCGGCGCGGACCTGGCCCGCGCGGGACTCATGCCCAACGTCCCTGCCAGCATCCCTCCCAAGGGTTTCTCGCCCCGCCTCACCGGTTATTACCTATTTGAATATCTTGGCCTGAGTTGGCCCCTGGCCAAGGGATATACAAGGTGAAGCCTTGACCCACAGAGCCAGGGAGCTAGAAGGAACCTGGGTGACTGTCTTCTCCCATCTCTCCATTTTGTGGGCGAGGAAACGAAATTCGAGAGAGGCGAAGCCACATAGCTCAGATCGCACAGTAAATTAGCGCCAGATTCCGAACAAATCCAGACGCTCAATGCCTCCTGGAGACCAGTCCAGGGTGGACATGTGCCTCGTCCCTTCCAGCGATGGCACGCTTGCCGTCCACGTGCAACCGTGTGAGGGACGTTCTGTGTCGCCAGTCGAGGAAATCCGAGCTCGTGCACAGGAAGTGACCGGCCCCCAAATCACACCGAGGTTTTGGCAGAGTTGGGACTTGAATCTGGTTCCCCGTGTGGACGGGCTGATGGTAGTACAAGTGTCTGAGGCCCTAAGTCCACGGTCTGGGGAAATATGGCGCCTGGATGACTGTAGTGACGTCTGAGCGGGAGGATAGTTTTAACTGATTGTTGGCTCCACTACTGCTGCTCAGTGTGGTATGGCCTTGGACTTGTCTCTGAGCAGCAGAGACCCAAGGCTGGTCTGGAGGGTCTCTTGGGCCAGTATGGCACCAGCCCTTTTCCCATCTAGGGCAATGGGCCATTCATTCATTCATTCATTCATTCATTCATTCATTCATTATGAGTGTTTTATGCTTTATTTATTTATTTTAAAGGGGTTTTTTAATATTTATTTTTGAGAGAATGAGACAGAGAGAGACAGTGAGTGGGGGAGGCGCAGAAAGAGACTGGGAGACACAGAATCCCAAGCAGGCTCCAGACTCTGAGCTGTCAGCACAGAGCCCGACGTGGGGCTCAAACCCACAAACCGCGAGATTGTGACCTGAGCTGAAGTTGGATGCTTAACCGACTGAGCCACCCAGGTGCCCCGCTTTATTTATTTATTTTTTTAAAATTTAACAAGTCAGTTAACATACAGTGTATAATAATTTCAGGAATAGAATTTAGCGATTGATCACTTACACGTAACACCCAGTACTTGTCCCACCAAGTGTTCCCCTTAATGCCCCATCACCCCTTTAGTCCTTCCCCCCCCATCCCACACCCCGCCAGCAACCCTCAGTTTGTTCTCTGTGTTTAAGTTTCTTATGTTTTGTTCTTATGTTTTTATATTGCTTTGGCTTCCCTTACGTTCATCTGTTTTGTATCTTAAATTCCACACGTGAGTGAAATCACGATATTGTCTTTGACTGATGGATTTTACTGAGCATAATACCCTCTAGTTCCATCCATGTTGTTGCAAATGGCAAGATTTCATTCTTCTTGATCGCCAAGTAATATTCCATTGTGTACGTGTACCACATCTTTTTATTCATTCATCAGTCGGTGGACATTTGGGTTCTTTCCATACTTTGGCTGTTGTCATTAGTGCTGCTTTAAACATTGGGGTGCATGTTAGGGCAGCGGGCTTTAGAATTGGAAGTTTGGAGTGAAGTGGCTATGACCTTAGAACAGGTGGCTTCAAGGGACAGGCTGCAAAGACCTAGGCAGGTGCCTCCCTTTTCAAAAGAACTTCCACAGTCAGATTATGAGGGGCCCATGGGCCATCCTGCACAGGCTTTCCCTGGGCTGGAATCCTCTATATGCCAGTGTAAACATCTGGCCCCAGGTTTTGAATCGCCTTGCCAGGCACTCAAGTGATGAACAGGAAAGAGCACTGCACAAGAGTGCTGCTGGGTGTGACGTGTTGGAGGGAGGATTATTCAACCCTGCTGGCTCAGCTCTGGGCCCAGCTTCCAGGTGGGTCTGGGAGCCCGAGGAGAGACGGGGATGTTGTGATACCTGGGGAAGAGGCTTGCAGAATCTACAGGGGGAGGCACAGAGGCTGGAGTGAGCAGGGAGCCCACACCTCCCAGGGCCCAGGCAGGGGGCTACCACTGGACCCCCCCCCCTCCATTTGTCCAGGGGCAGCCTTAGCTCCCCACTCGACCTCTTCTTTCTCCCTCTTTCTTCCTTCCTTCCTTCCCTCCCCTCCTTCCTCCCTCCCTTCCTCCCTCCCTCCCTCCCTCCCTCCCTCCCTCCCTTCCTTCCTTCCTTCCCTCTTTCCCTCTTTCTCTCCTGCCTTCTGCCCTCTTCCTTCATTTTCCCCCAGGACATTTTTACTTGGATATGCAATTTTTAGGACAGTGTATTAATTTGCTAGTTGTTCTGATGGCACATTCGACCTTCGTATCGGCAACCATCCACTCATCCATCCAACAATTATTTTCTGTGGTGGTAAACAGCACTGTGGTTCGATCCGTAGTTGGAAAAAATACACAGCTTGTACCTTGGGAAGCTCAGTCTGCCCACGCCCTGCACGCCTGCTGTGCAAGCAGGAGCTTCTGAGGGCAGCAGGCCTTCCAGATCCTTCCTGCTCCAGGTGTGTCTGTGGAGCCACCAGCATCCGTGCATCACCTGGGAGATTGTTAGAGAGGCAGAACCCCCACCCCCCCTCCCCCTTGCCCCGACAGACCTACGGACTCAGGATCTGTATGACAAGATCCCTGGGAGATTCGTATGTACCTTGAAGTTTCAGAAATGCTGTTCCCGAACTCTTCCCACGCTTGGGAGTGGGTAGAGGCTGTTATTTCTGGAGTGAGCTGAATTTAGAGACTGGAGCTTGCCATCGATGAACCTCTGGGGTTCCTTCCAGCCAGCAGAGCCTATGGTTCTTTCCTCTGAGCCCAAGTAATTTGAGCTCGGTTTCAGCGACAGACCCTTCTGTTGGGACCTCTCCCGGGAAGTTCTGTGGACAAGGACGCAGACGGTGGGTATGTGCCAGCAACGGCCCATAGCATCCAAGCCAAGTGGCTCTGAAATGAGGCGGATGGGGGAGGCAGTGTGTGTCTGTGGGGACAGAAGGGACGCCTTGGCTCACCGTGAGGTGTGCAAGTGTGGCTCTCTGTGGATTCGCTAACTTTTGGGAGAGGATTTTCACGGCTAACCAACCCTTCTCCCAGACATGGTTTAGGCCCCAACGCTGTGGAACGAAGCCTCACATGTCTGCACCAAAGAGGAACCGGGGACATCGAGAATCCCTAACTGTGGCTGATCTGTTCGGGTGGGAGCTGACCTTGTCTTGGGGTCCTTGCTGGGATCAATCCCCGTCAGGCTTGAGGGTAGGGAGTGGGGGCAGACAGGAGTATCTGACAGAACAACAGGTCACGTTTGGTTCAATAAAGCTGCGGAAGTAAAACATCGCTAACATGTAACGTGTTCCTGTGTGCCAGGCTTTTATGTCCGTGTAAAGAAATTGCATTACCTTATTCAGACCTCGGAGCCACCCTAGGATGTGGGTGCTTCCGTTACCTCCGTTTTATAAAGAGGGAGGGGTGCCTGGGTGGCTCAGTCAGAAGTGTCCAACTTCGGCCCAGGTCATGATCTCACAGTTCACAGGTTCAAGCCCCGCATCAGGCCCTGTGCTACAGCTCAGAGCCTGGACCTGCTTCAGGTTCTGTGTCTTCCTCGCTCTCTGCCCTTCCTGCGCTTGTGCTCTGTTTTGCTCTCAAACATTAAAAAATCTTTACAAAGGGGGAAACTGAGGCCCAGAGAGGGCTGTGCCCCAGGCTTGTGTCACCTAGGACACCTGGGCCTTTTCCACTTTTTCATGCATGGCTGGGTCCTGCATGGGCCGTGGAGAGGGTCTGCAAGGGCCTCGGCAGTTCTCCAGGGCCCTTGAAAAGCCACTCACGCCCCCGTTGCCCCAGAACTCTGGGCCGTCCCTGGGGACAGTTTCCACATTGCCCATGTATTTGAAATTGGTCTCAGAAAAATACCTTGCCATTCGGCCTTCTCCCCACAAATTAGGCAAAGACTGAATTTCCCATTATTGCCGAGTCCAGCCTTTCTTTTCAGGTGTCTCTAGAAGATGCTCTGAACTTTACCCTGGAGCTGCTTGTGGTTGAAAGAAATAGGGAGGCTGATGGGGTGGGCGACATTGCCTTTCGTCCTAACTGCTACGCATCTGAGACCATGAACATATAGAACTTGCATGATTTTTTTTTTTTTTAAGAGCATGGTTAGAAATTAAATTGTATAGATGAAAACTTTACTACATTTGTATTCCCAGCTTGTACACGGAATAATCACCATGCATGGTGTTACATCTTTTTAAAATCTTTTCTTTGTTGAATGTTTGTTTATTTTTGAAGGAGAGAGAGAGAGAGAGAGAGAGAGACAGTGAGTGAGCAGGGGAGGAGCAGAGAGAAAGGGAGACACAGAATCCAAGGAGGGCTCCAAGCTCCTAGCTGTCAGCACAGAGCCCGACCTGGGGCTTGAACCCCCAAACCGGGACATCATGACGTGAGCCGAAGCTGGAAGCTTAACCGACTGAGCCACCCAGGAGCCCCTTGTGGGCGTTACATCTTAACTTTAATGGCTCTGTCACTTTCCAGCTATGTCACCTTCAGCACGTTATTTAACCCCTCTCTGTCTCACTTTCCAAATCTCTGAAGTGGGTGGCAATAAATATGCCCCACCTTCTGGGGCGGCTGTGAGGGTTAAGTGACTTAACGTCGAGAAAGTGCTTACGGCAGGACGCGGCACACAGTAGGTGCCATGGAAATACTGCCGGTGAAGGAAAATGAGGATGATTTCAGTTGTGGGTTGATGAATCGTCACTCTTAGAATGTGTTTTTTTGATTACCGTGGGCCCTGTATTCTGTGCACGTCGTTCATTCTTTAAAGCTTCATGAACAGTACGTGTTGGTAACTCACGTTCCAGCCGCATCTTCTGCCAGTTGTGTGGGTGAGGGAGGGACCCTTACCCCTTTTGAGTCTCTTCACGGTCTGCCCCGCAAGGTGGCTGGGAACACCGGGGAGCAACGCGGGTGGGGAACTTGGGGGAACAACGTGGGTCGGGAGGCTCCGCCCACCCCTGAGCTCAGGCAGGTGAGGTAAGTGACTAGCTTGAGTAAAGGCCTTGAGGATTTCAAGGACCCGGATGTAGATCCCTCCGCCCGCTGGGGGAAGGGCTGGACTGTCCCGCAGCTGCGCCCCCTCTCGGTCCTGAGAGCTTCGCCGGGCTTTGTTCACGCTGTGCTGGGCTCCTTCTCTGGGCTCGTTCTGCACCTCACTGCCTCTGTGAACCAGGCGGAGGCTTCACAGGACAACACCCCCGATTCCCTGTGGCCCAGCTGCTTAAGGGTGCCGTCTAGAAGCCCTGAATCACAACATGATCCAGTTTTGACTTTCTGCAGAGGTACGTTGGCCAGTGCTTGTTCGTGTGATCAGGGCAGGCGCTCCCAGTTCACCCAGGGAGCCGGCTCGTGGCTCATGCGAGATTGGTCCCACAGTTGCAGAGGGTATTCTGGAATGTAGGAACCGTGGACCTAGAAAGGAGGCAGGCAGAGTATCGGTGGTGTCTTACCTGGCATTGTTGAGGGAAACATCACCCGTGTTTCCCGGTACAGAGCTTTGCAGTAACCAAGTTTTTTCTTATGTGACCTTCAAAACGACCTTGTGCAGTTGACCAGAGAACTGAGGCGCAGAGAAGCGGAGTGACTTGGCCGGGGCCGCTAAGACGTCCACCTGGAACTGACCCGTCCCAAACCCCTTCACATGGTACTTTCTTCTTCTGCCTTTTGTTGACAACCGGGCAGGATAGCTTTTTGCTGGGTTGGGTAGTGTCCTTTAGCAATTCATGTTCACCCGCATGCTCAGAATGCGACCTTATTGGGAAGCAGGGTCCCCGTAGGTAGATGTTGTTAGTTAAGATTAGGTCCTGTTGGAGAAGGATGGGCCTTGAATCCAACACGATTCATTAGAAGAGACAGGGATGGACATGCACGGAGGAAAGAAGATGTGAAGACGGAGGGATTGGGGGAACACTGATATGGGGGGGTGGGCAGAGATGGGGAGGTGCAGCCACAAGTGGAGGAACACCTGGGGCCACCGGAAGCTGGAGGAGTCAAGGAAGGATCCTCCCCTAGAGGCTTCAGAGGGAGCCTGGCCCTGCCAGCATTTTAATTTCAGATCTCCAGCCTCCAGAACTGTGTAACCCTAGGTCTCTATCGATTAGGCCACCTCATTTGTGGGCCTTTGTCACTGTCGCGCCAGGAAAGGAACACAGCGGCAGCTCCCAGGTCTTTTTCTTCTCTGTGTTCTTCCTCTTTCCTCTAGAGTTGCCCTGTGTCCTTGAGGATTATACACACAGAACAGCTAAGTCCTGGCAGCTTGTGTCCTCTGTGGACAGGAGTTTTGATCCCTGACCTAGATTACATTTATTGCAGCAAATTCACTTGTCTGCTCCTATTTGGCTCTGGCTTTTTTTCGCCCCAATGTAACTTGTACCACGTCAGCTACACCAAGCGTCCTGCATCCAGGTGAGATGATGTCTGGGGGAGGGGGTAGGCAATGTGGCCATCGCGCATTGGGAGTGGGCTTTTTTTTCTCGCAGCCTGGGACTGGTGGGCTCAGGCCGGAGGCTTGGGGCTGTGCTGGCTCTTGCTTTTGGCCTTCAAGTCTAGGCTGGACCAGTACTGGCTGGCTGTTTGTCTGGGGCCCTGGGCTGGTTTCTCCTGAGGTAGGCCTGCTGGGGGAGGAGGCCCTCCCGGGCAGGGGGGAGGCCCTCCTGGGGGGGGGGGAGGCTCTGAGCTTGCTCACACTGCCACCTAAAGGGAAATATTGAGCAGGGAAGTGACCCTCCTGCCCTATCAAAAGGCAATTCCTCCCCCAAAGCCATTGAGCCGGATGGTTGGAGATGCTTGAGTCCTGTCCTCTGCCTGTTTCTGTCATCGCCCCTGGACAGCCTTTTTTATGCCGGGACTTCTGCTGCTAGTCCTTGTGCTGAAGGTGGGCTGGGAGGGAAGGGGGGGCAAGCGAGGGGCGATGGAGTTGGGGTGGTGACCAGTTCGAGTCCCAGCTTAGTGACCTTGTACGACAGCCTTAAGTACTTAGGGACGCTGCGCAGCACTTCCTAGGAGGGGCCGCGCGTATCTTTATACCTGCAGTCCCAGTTTGGCACGTGCACGCGAAAGGCGCTTAAATGCTGCTTGGGTAAAAGTAGCTGAAAACACAACTCCTGCCACAGGGGAAGGTGATTCTGGCAGCGGCACAGGGCAGAGGAGGGAGGTGGGGAAGAATTGGTCGTAGTAGTTGAGGTGAAAGATGGAGAAAGCCTCAATCACTGCTTGGTCCACAGGGCCAGGGAGGCTGGAGAAAAGGAGGAGACCTGTTCTCTCTGGCTTTGCACTTCGCGTTTTGCCCTGTGCTGCCTGCAGTGGGTACCGTGGCTGCTGCTGTCCTAAGAGCCTTGCAGGCTCCATCTTCCGGTTCCCATGATGGCTGCAGAACGGAGGTGACTGGCCTAACAGCCCACAGCCCATACCGGGCGGGCCGGCCTGGGACCCAAGCTGGTGCAGGATGCTGGCGCAGGACCGGAAGGGCCCCCTGGGGGAGGGGTTGGGGGTGGCTGAGGCTTCTGTGTGGCTGGCGGTGTTGATGGGGGTCCATTAACAAGTGAGTTCGTTGGGTTGGCCCAGTTGGAAGCAGGAATGCTTTTAGACTGCCTTTGTCCGGGCTTTGGCAGGTCCCCCACGCCATCATTTAATGATGGTGCTGGTGCCTCTCCCTTGACTGAGTGCTTTTGGCCGCAGAGCGATGGTTGGGGGAGAGGTTGCTTGGCTCCTTGAGGCTCCCTGGCCTCCGTGGGGTTGCAGGTGCCGCCACGGTGCCTCCAGTGCTCACTCCCTCGCCCGGGGTCCCTACTTCTCCAAGTAGGCTTCGTGTCTCGCATGGAATGCCATCAGTGAGCAGACTTCATGAGGTTCACCATGCAGACATGGTCCTGGATGTTCCCCACGCCATCTCCCTTGGCCCTCATCTCCCTGCCTGTTGCCCTGAACCAAAGTTCTTGAGTCTGGAAGTCTCTGGCCTGGACCATCCCTTGACCTCATTCCTGGCTCTGTGAATCTCTGATTCATCAGACGTTGACTGAGAACCTACAGTGTGCTGGGCACTGGGGACGCTCAGATGAAGTGCCTTCCCTGCCTCCACATCTCTTGACCAGGGTAGAGGGGGGTGGAGAGGTGGGTGGTGAGTGATAGGGTGGGTGGGGGTGACCTGGTCCAGACCTCGCCCTCTGATCTGCAGGAAGATACTGTACTGAAAGAACAAACAGAGCCCGAGGTCTGGGCAGCCTCCCCAGAGGAGGTAACATTTGAGTTGAGCTTATGAGGCTGAACAAGGACTTGCTAAGTGAAAGAGTCTGGGCTCTAAGGGGGAAAAGAACATTCACAGCCCAGAGAGGAGGCTGTATGTGTTTGGGGAACCAGCTATTAATTCCACAAATATTTACTGAGCACCTGCTCCACACCAGTCTCGTGCTGGGAACATAAATCCTCCATAGCCCCGATTATGAGAAATTTACAAGACATCTTCTTTGGCGGGACCTTTACACAAAATGAGGAATTTGGACGCAGACCTTTTGTATACACTAGAAGTTCTCAAACTAGGGTTTTTGAGCCCTGGGATTATGCAAGATGATCCACTGGGAGAGGAGGAAAAAAATCGAAGCCTCTATTTATAAGCGTTTTTTTATTTTTCAACGTTTTATTTATTTTTGGGACAGAGAGAGACAGAGCATGAACGGGGGAGGGGCAGAGAGAGAGGGAGACACAGAATCGGAAACAGGCTCCAGGCTCTGAGCCATCAGCCCAGAGCCCGATGCGGGGCTCGAGCTCCCGGACCGCGAGATCGTGACCTGGCTGAAGTCGGACGCCTAACCGACTGCGCCACCCAGGCGCCCCTATAAGCGTTTAAAAAAAAAAAAAAAAAAAAAAAAAAGAATTTGAGCTTCTCGAATATTTACTGTATGGGTTGACCCTGGTGCCTGCCCTTAGCCCCTATGCCGTGCATGTTGCCTCCATCAGGGAGGGTCGGAGGTAAATGGGGTGAGGGGTTCCTTGAAATCGACAGGGTCTCCTTGCCTCCTCCCTGTTAGCACATTGTAACATATTTACATCTGTTCCTGCAGTGGATTTATGGGTGCTCTTATCTGACTTTAACTAGCTGACCCTCACACAATGGACAAGGGCTCAACAAGTTTCCTGGAAAGACACTGGGGGCTGGAGAGAGGGTGGGTCACCCAAGCGCAAGCCGGACAGCAAGAACTTGGCAAGGCTGTTGCTCCCTCCCCCACCCCAGCCTGCTCTCAAAGGGCCCCTTGTCCTCTTTCCATCCTGAGTTAAAAGTGGTAACAATCCAGTTGTAACCAGTGGAAGCCAGACCAGAAATAGTCAAAATTACCAAGGTAATTGGCAACATAGATTCAGATCTCCTGATGTCAGTAATATTCTTTCCCTAAAGGTTTGTGGTCTTTTAGATATTGGCGGGGGATGATGGCACATGTAAGTGCACAGACACAAATAAAAATACACACCTTAGGGATGGATACCAGCATCTGTTTGATTAGACACAGCAGTCAAAGTAGTTTGGACATCATGACTCTAGGCAGTAAGGAGCTAGTGGAAGCTGTTGAAGCAGGACGACTTGTTTGGTTCATTTCGGAAGCCCTTCCCTGGCAGTGATGGAATGAAGAGACTGGGGAAGAGAGAATAAGAAGGGCTTTTGCAGAAGTCCAGGTGAGCGAGGATGAGGTCCTGAACCCAGGTGAAGGGGACAGGAGAGGAGAGGGAAATTTTACACGTGAACTGGACTCGGTGACTAATAAGTTTGGAAAACACGGCAGGGGGAGGATCCAGGGTGAGCCCCGGCTCTCTGAGTGACTGTGGACGGATAGTGGTACCGTTGACCGAGGTGGCAGATGGCGGTGAGGGGTGAGTGTGGGGAGGGAGATAAAGAGTCTGGATTCGAGCAGGTTGAGTCAGAGATGCCCGTGAGAGCGGTGGGTGGAGCTATCCTGCTTGGTCAGGCGTCTGGGGGCCTTGGGCTGCGGGCACCCCTCGCCCAGGCAGGGCCCAGGTGAATGAGTGCTTGAAGGAAATGCAATGAGTTCAAACGTGATGAGTTCATAAGGCAGTACTGGTGTCTCCTGTCCAGTCTCTGGCCTTCCCAGGGGTCAGACCTCTTCCATATCGTATTTCTGGGAACCACCCAAAGTGTAGGTTCCCCTTGTTGTCTTCCTCTTCTGAGCCGTCTTAGGCTGTGGGCAGGCTCCTACTCATGGGGCTTCAGGCAAAAGTAATTGGGAAAGCCTGATGAGGCTGGGTGTGCCCTTGCTCTCATCTTCTGGTGCGAAGATAAGCAAAGTGAAGGGCAGGGGAGGAGCCTGGTGGGGCAGGAGGGGGCGTGGGTGCCAAGCAGGTGCCAAGGCTGGGATAGGTGTTGGGTCACTGAGGCTCCGCGGGGGGCCGTCATTTCTGAGTCCGGTCATTTCTGAGTTGCAATTTCTGGGCTGTCCCCGGTCAGGATGTGCTTGTCTGAGGGTCCACCCGGGGCTTGACACGGAGAAGGCTAGTGGTTTTGTCGGTGACGCCTCTGAGGACGGCATGTGGAACTACCAGCTTGCCCGTCTGGTGGGATCCCGGGCTCTGTGTGTTTGGGGGGCAGGGTGTGTGACATGGACGGGAGGCTTGTGGTTGTCTTCTTCCGTTTTAGTATTTTCCTTTGGCAAGGAAAAGAAGAACAGAACAGATGGGGGGGTGGGAAGCAAGAGAATGAAGCAGAGTTAGGAATGAAGGAAGAAAAATGAAGAGGAGAGAGGAAGAGAAACAGAAAACAGGAAGGAGAGAAGAAAGGTATCTAGGAAATTCCTTCCCCGCTGAAAGAAACGGAAAGATCATTATTGAGACGGGAAGTGAGGGCCGTGGACAGGAAAACAGAAGGCGGTGAGAAGGCGGAAGCGCAGAGACGTGGACGAGACAGAGGGCGAGGGGTGGGGGGGGGCGGTGCGGAGGGAGGGATGGAGAGAGGCCTGATTGGATAAAGCGCTTGGCCCTGCCTTCCTTCTCTCCGCACCATCTGCCCGCTTCTCAGTTGCAGAATCAAAGGGGCCAGAGCCCCAGCCAGCTGCCGGGTCTCCATTCCTGACCCCCAGCTGGGCCGCGGGAAGGGGTCAGAGGCGGTGTCACCATTGCTTCTGCTGGGCAGGGGGCCCTCAGGCAGGGTCTGGAGAGGAGACAGGCTGACCCGTGGTCCCGGCCCCTGTGAACCAAAGGGGTGTCTGCCTTCATGCAGTAGTCCTTCCTGGCTGCTTCTCTCGACTTGCTTTTCCCTGCGATGGAACAGAACCATGAGCCCGCGTGCCGGGTGGTCTGCACTTACAGTGCAGAGCGGGAACACTGGGTCATAATAAACCGGGGCCGAGGCAGTGCGTGGGGTGAAGCCCTTCGTAACCATCACACCCTGTGCGTGGCAAGCGGCACACGCCTGCACCCGGACAGCCGGGCCGTGGGCTGCCAAAGCGGTGAAGCTTCTGAATACTGAGGGCTGGTTTTCTGAAGCCAACTCATAATGGGAATAGAAACGCCATCTCAGAGGCCCAGGGAGCAGGGGCCTACTCTGGCTTTAGTCGGTGACACACGTCTAGACAGAGAAGGCGTCGTCACAAGGGGGATCCCGGGTGCACAGGAAATAAGCTGCGTGGCTCTGAACAAACCCAGGTCAGAGGACAGGGCCTGGGAGTGGGGGATGCTGGTAGGTTCCTGATGGAGAGGAACTGTGGTGGAGCCCTAGTGGAGGCTGCGGGGCCTTTTCAGAGAGAAAATTTCCCTCACGCCCCCCCCTTCCCTTGATCTGTTTGTGTGTTCATTTGGTGCCCAGTTACTGATTTGGCTTCCATGGGACCCTGATGCCAGGAAGGAGGTCACCTGAGGTGGGGACTCATCCCGCTGGTCCCTGGAGTAACTATTTTAAAAAATCAATACGTTGGCATAACCACAGCAAGAAATGCTGCTTGTCGAGTGAGAACTCACCAGACTCTGCTGAACGCGTCGCGTGAATATGGCACCCAGTGTTGCCAACGGTCTCGCCAGGCGGGCGTTCCTTCCTCCGCTTCGTAGATGGGAAGCCGCGCTCGGGTCCGGGGTTTGCGGCAAGGCTCTGGAGGCCAAGAGCCTGGTCTCTTCACCCGTCTCTTCTCGGAGGGGGTGGGGGCGATGCTGGGCTCGGAGCCCGGGCCCAAGTACAGCCTGAGTCACCCCCACTGGACGTGGGCGGTGTGCGTCTGCCCCTGAGAAGGCGGTGTGAGGAGCTCCGGGTCTGGACAAGCGGGGCTCGAGCCACGTGCTGGCACCGGCCAGTGCCTCGGGGGGGGGGGGGGGGGGGCCGGCGTCTCTGGGGGGCTCTGCTGGCCCAGGGGCCTCCCCGCTGGACTCCCCCAAACCTGCATCCAGGACCGCTGCATCTGCAGGACACGGGGCTGGATTTGTAGCGTGGAGGTGCTCGCTCCGTCCCTCGTTCTGGGATCAGTAAGGGAAGGTGAAGGGCCGGCGGGAGTGTCAGCCTAGGGATCCAAAGAATGAGGGCAGCCGAGCAGGAGGGGAGGTGATGTGAGGGCCGGTGTCTGGCTGAAAGGAGATTTGGAAGCCAGATTGGAACCAGCATTCCAGGGGACCGGGAGCTGGCAGGGAACCAGAGGAAGAGAGGGGAGAAGGTGATTTGCTAGAGGTGAAGAAAAGAGGGACCCTCTGTAGGCCCGGGGCTGGGGCTCCAGCCAGCCAGTGGCAGCTGCTTTTGCCCCACCTGGGACGCAGGGGCACAGAGGACCCTAAGCTTGGGAGGGAAGTGAGGCAGCCACCTCTGGGTCTCCACCACGAATGCTTCCTGGGGCTGCCGGCTCCCTGTCCAGAGTCCGCCGGCAGCCGGGGAAGGGAGACTGGTGGCAGCTTTGGCTGCTGCCCAACCCTGACTCATGCCTTCCAGAGCCACCACATCTTATTTTAACATTTCCCAGGGCAGTCATCAGCACCAGGAGTCAATTGCAAGAGGGCTGTGGGGGAAGTGGGAGAGGGTGTTCGCACTCGGAGCACGGAAAGGGGCTGGGACTCCTGTTGCTGGAGGAGAGCCTCAGCCTCCCTCCGCCTCCCTGCTCTGCAGGGCGGTCAGGAGAGATGTCTGGGCTCTGGGCGCAGACTCGAGGCAGGCTCCCTGGGGAGAGGCGCCGGAGTGGACACACAAGGTCCTGGCTGCGTTTGCCCCTCGTCCCACAGAGGCGGGCATGCAGACGCGGCTCCCAGGCTCGGGGTGCAGAGATAAAATGCTAATCGCATTTTTCTCCACCTTCTGGGCCTGCAGGGTTTTCGCTTGCTTCATGGGGCCGGTATTCCCCTTCCGCTTTCCCTGCCAGACAGGGAGTGGGGCGGGAGGGGGGCGGGCACTGATCATCTTACCCAGCAGGGGCTGAGCACCTCCCCTTGGGCCCCCAAATCCAGAGGCTCCCAACGACACTCCAAGGTTTCATCTGGGCCCGAAGTGAGTGGGGCCATCCAGACTGCTTTTCCAGGCAGAGCAGCAAAGGAATAGAGCTAGAACTACATCTAGAAGGCCCGGGGACTGGGGCATCCCGATGGTGCCCCGGTGCACCCAAAGGCCCATCATTTTGCTTGTCCTGGGAATGGAACTCCTATTTTTATATTTCCTTCCTTCCTTCCTTCCTTCCTTTCTTCCTCCCTTCCTCCTCCCTCCCTCCCTCCCTCCCTCCCTTCCTCCCTCCCTTCCTTCCTTCCTTCCTTCCATGTATGTTTATTTTTGAGAGAGACAGAGCATGAGCTGGGGAGCAGCAGAGAGAGAGAGGGTGACGCAGAATCTGAAGCAGGCTCCCAGCTGTCAGCACAGAGCCCGACGCGGGGCTCGAACTCACGAACCAAGAGATCATGACCTGAGCTGAAGTCAGACACTTCACCGACGGAGCCACCCAGATGCCCCTTTTAAATTTTCATCACTGGGGGCAAACGTTTGTGCAGTGCTTGGCAGCTGGCAAAATTCTTCGACAGGTTTTCTGATTTAAGCCTTAAAGTGCTCTGTGAGGTGGGCCTTCTAAGGCCACTCGTTGACCCAGATGAGGGAGGTGATGCCCCAGTAAGTACCAGAGCCAGGACCCAAACCAGTCTGAGGGCTTGGCGCTGGGAGGGCCCTGCCTCTGAGATAAGGACCTGGCCCCGTGAGAGCAGCCTCACCCCAACGATGCCTGGGCCTCTGGCGACATGTCTGTTCAAATTGTAAAGTGCCCTATTTTGACCTCTCCTGCTTCCCTAGAGTTACCAGCGAAACCTCAGAAGCACAGTTCTCTGCTCTATGTTCAGGGAAGTTGGGGGGGGGGATACTCTGAAGTCATTAGTACCTCTTCTGCAGAAGGGCGTCCACACCCCGTTTCTTCCCCAAGTCCCTAAGTCTGGGCTCATGGTCAGATTCCAGAACCTTCTCGCCCGGAGGCAGAACACACACTGTACTCCTGTCCTGGAGTCTGAGGTGGACCCAGCCCTACCCTTACCCCAGCTCTTGGCTCCCCAACTCTCTCTCTCTCTCTCTCTCTCTCTCTCTCTCTCTCTGTTTTTAAAAGTTTTATTTATTTATTTTGAGAGAGAGCAGGGGAGGGGCAGGAAGAGGGAGAGAGAGAATCCCCACTCTTGGCTCCTCAACTCTGTCCCTTTTTTCCCCCCAAGTTTTATTTATCTATTTCTTTAGAGAGCAGGGGAGAGGCAGATGGAGGGGGAGACAGAATCCCAAGCAGGCTCCACACTGTCAGCACAGAGTCCGACATGGGGCTTGAACCCACGAACCAAGAGATCATGCCCTGAGCTGAGATCGAGTCAGATGCTTAACTGACCGAGCCACCCAGGCATCCCTCCCTGACTCTCTTTAATAGACATGCCTATACCCGAGTTTCCTCAATGTGTGTTTTCTCGCGTTCTTGTAAGTGGGTTTCTGGTTTGGTCCCTATTTCAAGCTCTTCTTCCAGGATTCTGCACTCATGCCACTTTGGTCCCTGACCCTTGCCTCTCACCCACACATTGGGCACCCCTTCCTGAGGTCTGTCGTTTCTCCTTGTGCCCATGTCATGGCTGCCAGACCCTGCCCACAGGTGCCCAGGCCTGCGTCACCTCCTCCATGGGTTCCTTTCCAGCCCTGGCCCTGGGGTGAACACTAAACCCGAGATTGGGCTAGGAAGAGAGAGACCTGAATGGAAGGAGGGGAAGACCTAGGAAAGGGGGCAGTGGACCACCACCCTGGGGGCTACAGGGAAGCCCTGAGAGGGACCTGGCAGAAAGGGAGCCCAGGAGGGTGGCCCCTCTGCTTCTGGGGCCCTCCTCTCTTGGCCTCCAGTGTAACAGCCCCCATAACAGAGTGGCTGGCCCCCCAGGGCACGGGTGCCTGAGATATTTTTAAAAACCATTACAACAGTTCTAACTGGGGAGAACCAGCCTCCAGCTAGGCCATAGGGTCAATAGCGTTTAATCTCCTGCCTGTGATCTCTCCGCTCTTGTGGCCAGCTGTCAAACGATCCGCTTGGATCAGCTGAAGATGGAAATGTCATTATTTATTTTGAAGCCGTTCGCGTTTAATTCCACAAAGATTGCGCCACAGAGCAGAGGTTATGGGGGATTACTGGAAAAAGGGAGATCGGAGTGACTTCGGGCCTGATTCACATCTGCCTCCCTTCCGACAGGTTGGCCCCTTGCAAGGGACCATTGGTTTTGATGGATGGCTGCGTGTGTAGGCCTTGCCTTTAAGACATAGGTGCTTCAGGTCTCTGTGCCTTGCGCAGTGGGAAGTCGGGCAGGAGGCCTGAGCCCTGTGCTTCGCCAGGGTGAGTGCTCATCTCCTTTTCTGTTCTTAATCATCCTAGTGACGGCATGCCCTCAGACTGCCGGGAGGGCAAGGGGGGGGGGGGGGAGTTGGTGCCAAGTTGATTGGAGCGTGTGCGCGCGTGTGCACGCATGTGTGTGTGTGTGTGTGTGTGTGTGTGTGAGGTTGGATGGGGAGGAGAGGGGTGGAGCAAATCAAGGTTCCATGCAACCCGGATGTGGTTGGGGAGTGATGGGGAGGCCGTTCCCTTGGATGGACAAGACAACAGCAGCTCTTTCTGGAGAGGCATGGGTGGCCCCAGGAACGTGGTCTGCTGCTCCTTTGGAGTTCTAGGCACGGGGGGCTGGAGCCTGGCTGGTCCTGAGACCTGTGACTGGGATTTCTTGGGGGAGGTGGGGGCCGTAACCTCTCCCCGGCGCGTTCAGTTTAGAAACCCATGGGAAGGGTGTGCCGTCCGGCAGGTATTCCCAGGCCTCTGTCCTCAGGGGCCTCAGTCTGTTCTGAAGTTAGAGTTCTGGCCAGTTGTCCCCTGGCCTTCTGTCCCCGTCATCCAAATTTAAGTGCTAGGTGCAGGCTGACCACAGCTCTCTTCTCTCCATGCTGCTCTGAGTTCCTCCTCCCCTTCCTCCTCCTCCCCATTCTGGGAGAAAGACCCTGTGTTCTCAGCATTTCTCTGAAAGACCCCTTGCCTTTCCCAAACTCAAACCTGAGGACCCTTGGCTGCTTTTTGTCCACAGCCAGTGGTTAGTCTTCCGCTCGTCGTGTTCGAGGAGGTAGGAGGGAAGACGAGGGGGCAGTATTCTTCCAGCTCACTGTTGTCACTGCCTAAACATTTCTACCTCCCGAGGCCACGTGAAATAAAACCCTTTCGCGTCTGGGACTTCGAGCCTTCGGGCAGAACCATCCGTGACCCCTCCTGTCGTGTCTCCCAGTGCTGACCCCGTCACTCTTTCAAGGAAGAGTCTGACGTCTCTAAGTCCAGCCCCCCTCCCCGGGTGACGTGAACGGATGCTTCCTTGACTGGCACCTTAGCACCCCCCCCCCCACCGCCAATTCTTGAGAAACCTTCACCTAGGCCTCAGCCCCGCTGCCCGCCATGTTGCCCACGGCTCGGTGTCTTCTTGGCCTGGTGAAACTCAGGCGGCAGCTGTCCGTCCTCCCGCCTTGCTCTCTTGTCCTCCGCCCTCCCACTCCCTCGTCCTCATCACGCCTGCTCCTCAGTGTCCTAAAGATCCAGCTCCCGGACCGTCCAGTCTCTCTCAACCCGGCAGCCCCTTCTTGGCTTTGCCCTCTATCCTCCCCCACCCAGCCCCCAAGGCCAGTGCCCTCAGCACACCTCTCTCCTGCCAACACCTGGCCAGCCAAATGCCAGCCCTCCACCTGCTCACACCTGCACGTGGGATGCTGGAACACTTCAGCCTTGGGGACGTGACCACAGCAACAGCATTGTCTCTGACCTCCCGGCTGACCTGTCCCCGCCCCCGACGACCCCTCTCCATATCCATGACCGGCACTCTCCCCATGGTGGCTCTGTCGAACTTTCAGGGCTCTCAGGTTCCCCAGCATGCTGCCCGCTCCCCCAGTCCTCTCAACCAGTGTTGGGACCGCACAGGGGCAGTAGAGACCTTCGGTTCCTTGCCTCTCTTCACCCCTCGCACAACCACAGACGGATCTGTGTCTAAAACCCTCTGTAACTTTCCTTCGGTTGCAGCAGAAAGTTCTTCATCCTTTCAAAGCCTTCTGAACCCCCCTCTCCAAGCATTAATTAGCCATCCAGGTCTCCAGCACCCCTTTCTACAGCGTGTAGCATCATCCAGGCCTCCTCCTGTCAACTCCCTGGACTCTATGTCCAGCTCTAACCGCTGCCAGGTGGCTTCCCTTCCCCTCAGCTCAGCCAGGGGGAGAGAGGTCAGCCCCCTCTTCTCGTGGAAACACGTGGTCTTTCTGTGGTGCCCCGCTCTCGGGCACCCCTTCTGCCCACGTTCGCTGCCACCCACGTGGTCTGGCCCCGCTCCCTTCCTTCCTTCCGCCGGGACTGCTCCCGCTGAGGCCTGACGTCCTTGGTGTTGTGACCACTGCCAAGTGCATGATGGCCTCGCCGCACTTCTCTGCAGAGTTTGCCTGCCGCCCTGGAGACTTTCTGCTACCGTGATCCCCGTCGCCTCCTGGTTGGATGATCTTTTCTGTCTCCTCCACCTGGTGGTTGGCATTCCTTCGGGCTCCCACTGTGGCCCTGCCTTTCTTGCTTGTATCCTCTCCCTGGGGACTTCGTCCACTTCCAAGGTTGCATCTGTCACC